CATTAATGAAAACTCATGAAGACTAATCGAGCATCGATTTAGAGTTGCATGATGTAAGTTCATGGCTAGGCCTTTACTAAGCATCCAAAAAATAACATTCTTGCAGATTAAAAGAAAGGTTATGACCTCGTTCTGACCCTATCTCCATATTATGGCCTTCCTTTTCTATCTTCTATGAAAATTTTTGCACTTTCTTTTCTTCTCTTTCGGTCACTTTTCTTTACCCTCTCAAGAATATAGGTGAGAGTTTCTAAGTTTTGACATACAAATAAAGATGAGGGCTATATTTATAGGAAAACAAAATGGTAACGAATTAACAAGAGGAGAGATGAAATTGCAACACATATCATAGGGTCATGACATATGTCGACTTGGATGGCTTGGATAGTTTGGATGACATGTGTCACACTATAGTGTCACATGCTAATTGTTGTGACATATGTTAAACTATGCGACAAGTGTCACTACTAGAAGGAAGAGGGCGAAATCATTTGTTATTTGTATACTTAGTCCTTTAAGTTTGAGTAAATTGTGTTCCATCCACCGGTAGTTCAACTTATCAGTATTCAGGATTTTTAAGTAAATTTTTTGAGATTTTACATGTCCCTTTATTTAAGATATTACACGTAAATATAGAAGTACCCTCATTTGAATTCAATAAAAATAGTTTCAAAACCAAAATTCTTAATAGAGTCAAATTCAACTTTCCCTCCAAAAACCAAATTCTAGTTTTCAACTTAGGATTTAAGTTTATGAGTCTTAGTTAGTAGGGCTATATGATTAGAAAAATTCTAAAAAAAAATAGGGTTAGCCTAATTTAATCATAGGGAGCAATTACCCGGATTTTTTATTCTAATTTTTTAAATATTTTAAATACCTAACTTTTTAGAATACTTAGTAACCATAGACTGGTCAAATTTGGGTGCGTATGGCCCCGAACCCCATTATGCATTGTGTGTTAATAATTATCCTAGTAATACGAATTTCATTTATTAAGTGCTTTATTATGTTAGAAAATCCTCTTTTATGATTTAATTGTAGAGTGTGATATTAGATTTGCTTTTTGAATAATTATAATTTGCTAATAGTATATTTAGGAGTTTAGGATATCCTCTTGAGTGGTAAAACTAAGGGGTCCAAGTGTGAATGTTACGTTGAAGCATATGAAAATTATATTAACCTGTTTATTCATACAAGTAAATTCCAATTTCTGTTCAATAAAAAAAAATGAAAGTTGAGTATAAATGTATGAGCATAGAAGGAAAGTGTTGCTCGTAACGTTAATTTGTTTTGGAAAATTGAAATTAAACCAACACGCTATCTAATTACGTTTAGCAATAAATATGAGTGCACGCATCATGGTAATTTGTGTGTGTTAAATGAGTGCACTATTCGTCGCTACTAATTACCATGTATTGTGTGTGGTAAATGCGGGCATACTTCTTTTCAAGTATTGTCTCTACTAATTATTATTTTGCGGGTTATTAATGCCTTTTTATGCTAAACTCTTCGTGTAGACCATCAATCAAGTGGAGAAAGCGCAATAAAAAATTACTAGTGTTAGAAGAGAAAGAGCAAGTTTAATGCTTTTAACACAAAGTTAAATTGCTGGGAATAGGAAAGGGTTGTGGTGAGTTAGCTCTATTCGTCGGCCAACTTCAGCAAGCGTAGAACACTTTAAAAGTTGATAAAATAACGCCATAAAATTTCATTCGGATTTTAGCCTTGTGAACATCCCAACAAAATCCAACAAACTGTAAACGCCTCTAAGAAATAGTTCCTTGTAGCATTTAGGTTAATAAACATAAACACTGTGTAAAATATAACATTTATATTAGGGATAATTGCAGAAACCTCCCCTGAGATTTTTGACATTTGCACTGACCTCCCTTCTAGGTTTAGAAATTGCATTCACCTCCCCTGAACAGTAACAATTCATTGCAGAAACCTCCCTGACAGCTTTTGTAGAAGTGAGATAAGAAATTTCTTCCAATTTTGCCCTCTTCTTGCTTGACAATTATTATTTGCTTGACAATTACTTAACTAATTATCTAATTAGTTAATAGTTAAACTAATTAACTATTAACTAATTATCTGATTAATTATTAACTAATTAACTAATTATATAATTAGTTAATTAATTAATTAACTAATTTCTATTTATCTAATTAACTGCTTAACTAATTAACTAATTAACTAAAGCTATTGTCTGTCCGAAACTAACAAACTATTTGCATGTTAAACTAATTAACTGATTAATTAATCAACTAATTAATTAACTAACTAATTAACAGATTATTTGCATGTTAAACTATATGCAGTACGCATTACCTATTTAAAGTATCGGCTCTTTATGGGTATTTTACTTTCAAACATTTAATTTATGATAAAAACATCAATGTTTGTAAGTAAAATTCAAAAAGTGTTACAGTAATATTCTTACAAAAAGGGAGGGGCATAGGGCCATAAATTAAATGTTTGAAAGTAAGAATATTTGATACTTTTTGTAACACTTTTTGAATTTTACTTACAAACATTGATATTTTCATCATAAATTAAATGTTTGAAAGTAAAATACCTATAAAGAGCCGATACTTTAAATAGGTTATGCGTACTGCATGTAGTTTAACATGCAAATAGTTTGTTAATTAATTAGATAATTAGTTAGTTAATTAGTTAAGTAGTTAATTAGTTAATTAGTTTAACATGCAAATAGTTTGTTAGTTTCGGACAGACAATAGCTTTAGTTAATTAGTTAATTAGATAAATAGAAATTAGTTAATTAGTTAATTAATTAATTAGATAATTAGTTAGTTAATTAGTTAAGTAGTTAATTAGTTAATTAGTTTAACATGCAAATAGTTTGTTAGTTTCAGATAGACAACAGCTTTAGTTAATTAGTTAATTAGATAAACAAAAATTAGTTAATTAGTTAATTAATTAATTAGATAATTAGTTAGTTAATTAGTTTAACATGCAAATAGTTCGTTAGTTTCGAACAAACAACAGCTTTAGTTAATTAGTTAATTAGTTTAACATGCAAATAGTTTGTTAGTTTCGGATAGACAACAACTTTAGTTAATTAGTTAATTAGATAAACAAAAATTAGTTAATTAATTAATTGGATAATTAGTTAGTTAATTAGTTAAGCAGTTAATTAGTTTAACATGCAAATAGTTTGTTAGTTTAGGATAGACAACAGCTTTAGTTAATTAGTTAATTAGTTAATTAGTTAAGCAATTAATTAGTTAATTAGTTTAACATGCAAATAGTTTGTTAGTTTCGGATAGACAACAACTTTAGTTAATTAGATAAACAAAAATTAGTTAATTAGTTAATTAATTAATTAGATAATTAGGTAGTTAATTAGTTAAGCAGCTAATTAGTTAATTAGTTTAACATGCAAATAGTTTATTAGTTTTGGACAGACAACAGCTTTAGTTAATTAGTTAATTAGATAAATAGAGATTAGTTAATTAGATAAACAGAAATTAGTTAATTAGTTAATTAATTAATTAATTAATTAGATAATTAGTTAATAGTTAATTAGTTTAATTATGCAGAAATAGTTTGATTAGTTAATAACTATTAACAATTAGATAATTAGTTAATTAGTTAATAGTTAATTAGATAATTAGTTATTAATTAATTAGATTATTAGTTATTTAGTTAATTAGTTAATTAGTTAAACTATGCAGAAATAGTTAATTTAGTGTAATTTTTATTAACAAATGTTTTGTTGGGTTTGATGAAAGTACTCATCACATTCACTTGGTAAAATTAAATCATGTCAGGGGTACTTTAATAAATTGACCCACTTTTGCCTATTAAATTGCCTCCAACTTTTGATAGGGGAGGTCAGTGCTATTTCAAAATTGATAGGGGAGGTCAATGCTATTACTATAAAAGTCAGGGGAGGTTTCTGCAATTATCCCTTTATATTAATACAAAAAATACATCACATGAGGATAGGATAATGTCTTAGTTAATGCACATAAATCTTATCTAATAGACACCCTTCGAAATATATCAGTGCTAAGCATTCCTGAGAATTAAGAAACGATTCATTATCTTGGTCCTATTAATTTCAAGATATTTGAGTACAAAAGAAAACAACTCAAGGTTTTTCTGGAATAGAGAATGTATGCTTGTTTGTTTGTTTGTTCGTTCAGCAGTTGTGTATTTACATTCAGACTCTACTACTCAGTAGACTTTTGCAAATATGTTGTGAGTAGAAGTGGCAAAATGAGATGCCACTTCAAAAGGGTTAGAATAAAGACCCTGTTGCTGGTCATTTTTTTGGTTCCAGGACCAACAGTCTCTTTTTTTTTTTGGTCATATTCGGAAGTCACGTTTTTGAGATGCAGCTTCTTTCAGTCACATTTTTTTTGCTGAATCGCACTATTCCCTTTTTTTTTTTTATTTCTTTGTATTGTTTATCATTTTATTCCTTCTTTTTGCACTTTCGCACTAATCAATGAACTCCGATTCAGCAAGAAACCAATCCAGAATGATTGAAAGAACCACCTCATTGCGTCTACTTGGCAGCAATAATACAACGGGACATGCCATTGTGGTTCTTGGATCGATCGTTGGATGAAAAAGATTAAGGGCGGCAGCAGTAGTAGTGTTGGAAATCTAGCGATATGTTTTAGTACGTAGCCTTATCTCGTTATATGGTGGATTATGTCATTCTATAAAGCAAGGGATGAATTCACTTTTTCTCGAAAATTAAAGCTGGCATGGTTTGGTTGAATTTTTGGATAGTGTTGGAACATAATAATAGAAATGGGCTTCTAACATCTGGAGGAAATTTCTTGAGCGGCAAATATTTGATGTTCATCTTCCCTGCACTAAAAGCCAGCTCTTGTGACTTTAAGGAATATGCCAAGAACACTCAATTTAAGATAAACCACATACTAAAAGCCAGCTCTTGATTCTCCAGATCCTCCTGCCACCTCTTACCTATAAATCCCACCCCTCCCGTTTCAGTTTCTGCCACTTCACTGCGTGACCCTGTGCAGCGAGACTTGTACCTTGGTTCTAATTTTGTTTTATCAGCCATCCCAGAAGAGATTTTTCTTGAGTGAAAATGGCAGATGAAGGTACAGCCACTTGTGTAGACATTCTTGTTGCTATCATCCTGCCTCCTCTCGGTGTCTTCCTCAAATATGGTTTGAAGGTATATTATATGTTAATCCCCTCAAATTTTCTCTCTCTTGAGTATACTATGTTAAGAAAAAAAAAAAAAGGAAAATTTTGGCTTAGATCTTAAATTTCTTGTTAATTTGTAAAGGAATAAAGGGTTAAAATTATCTCTTCCCTTTTAGATTTTGGCGTTCCAAGGTTTGTGGTTCATGCATGTTTTTTTTAACACAGACCCGGAATGGTAATAAGTTACTATGTTTTTTGATTCATGCCAAAAAAAAAAAAAATTGTTACTTTTGTTTGTTTGTTTTGTTTGAGTGAAAAAAAAAGAGGAAATTTTAGTGAGATTTTGATGGTTATGATATGTGGGAGCAGGTTGAATTCTGGATCTCTGTGTTGCTGACCATAATTGGGTACCTGCCTGAGATCATTTATGCTGTATGGGTCATCACCAAGAAGTGATCTACTCTCCTGACGGTAATTAATTCACACTAACCTTTTTTTTTTTATTAGAATAGAATGATCACTTGGTACTAATATGAGTTGTGTTTTGCTAATGGCGTCCAATGAACACATAATCTATATTTAATTCTTTGAATTTACCACTAAATGCACCTTGGCAAACCTGTAATTGCTCCTCCTCTTTTCAATCTTTTGTGAAATGGAGACCAACCCTTGTGGAGAAACCCCTTATCAAATAGGTGAAATAAGAAAAGAAACAAAAATCCGGAGGAGATCACTCATGAGTGATTCACAAAAAGGCACATCTTTTCAGTTTTACCATTTTGAAAATGCCTTTCTTTAGCAGGGGATAAGAACAATCACACTAATTTTTCAGCCACAATTAGGAGGGGATTAGGATTGCACGGTGGGGACAAGGGAAAATAAACTTCTCTCGTCTATTTCGTATGCCAAAGCCCAACGATTGTTATGTGCTGTTTGTCTTGTCCCACTTTACACCCAAGTGTTTAGTGCCTCATACTTGCACTTTTTCTAATCATATTATTGTTAGAATTTAGGGCCCAAAATGATTTTCTCATGTCTCAACTGTGATTTATGCCAAAGGACCAAACGCCTCATAATGAATTTTCATTGGTGGCTTGAATAGTCTAGGAGACCACATTCTCGAATCCTGCTCTTCTTTTATCCCATCGACACAAGTCTCTGCGTAACTTGAAGACACGGTTTTTTGCCTTTTGTGAAGAAGTGGTATATTCTTACTAATTGTGTTGGCTCTAGAACCTTGCTCTATTCGTGCTTTACATCAATTGAAAGAACTTGTACATATTTTGTAAAGAGAAAAAAAAATTAATTCTAATCTTGAAAACATTCCTTTTTCTTTTTGGTCATATTCGGAAGTCACGGTTCGTGTTATCAAAAGGGTTAGATTAGGTCCAGGGTCTTACTCTTATTCTCTTTTGGCAGGTGGGATACGAAGATGGCCCTGGAATATTTTCTTTTGCATGGAATTTAAGGACAGATGGAGTACTACTATTATCTTGGTCCTATTAATTTCAAGATATTTGAGTACTAAAGAAAACAAATTCAAGGTTTTTCTGGAATAGAGAATGCATGCTTGTTTGTTTGTTTGTTCAGCAGTTGTGTATTTACATTCAGACTCTACTACTCAGTAGACTTTTGCAAATATGTTGTGAGAACGAGCCAGCTTAAGAACTCAAATAAAGAAGACTCGTATTACTGTTAATAGTTGCAGAAGCTCCATTTTTGCTATTTGTACCATACAAAAAAATTGAAACCTTTTTCCACACTAATTTCCTTATACACAACAAACCACCAAAGAACACTTCATAGAAGATGTTCTTCTAATGGACTCAACTTTGGTTTGCAACACAAACAGCTTTGTCATTTTCAGGCCTCAGACAATGTGTAGATGCAAATTATCGCCATACAGGCCAAAACTGATTTATAATGACACGAGGACTGAGAAATAATAAATTAAGGTCGTTAAGTTCTCCTGAAGCCAACTTTTGTGCAATACTATCCACTAGCACTGTATTTAATCATGTAAATTAAATTTAAACGCAAGGGAAACTGAATTTTGAGATGGTCTGAATTCAAGTGCACAAAACAAATATAGACCCTAAATTGCCCAAGCATAAAGTTAGATTTCACCTTATTGCAGGTTGATGAGTTCCATTTACAGCTCCCCTTGTAGAACTTACACGTCTCAATTTTTGATCTTGTTCCTTGCCAATACGAGTAGCTGCAAGTTCCTTCCCCATAGCAGCTACTTCTCTACGCATCTTTTTGGACTCAACTTCCATAGCTTTATTCAGTGTTTCTACCTTTTTTGCCAACATCTAAACAAGTCCACACGCAAAAAGGGCTCAGAGGGAGGGAGGGAGTGAGGAACGGAGGGAGGGAGGGGGAGAGAGAGAGAAAGGCACCAAACCTCGATTGAGTCATCTTTGTCCTTCAGGCTCTGATCTTTCTCTTGGCAAGCTTTCCTCAAAGTTATAACCTCCTTCTGCAGCATATCATACAACATACCAGATACATAATCTTCATTCTCCCCTTCGGCTTTATCAGCTGCATTCAAGTTACGAATCTCATTCGCATAACCATTCTCATGTATTCTTGCTATTTCATTACTATGCCTATGATCACAGGAATTAGTGAATCTGTTATCTATGTCATTTTCATATGTTAGAGTGTTTTCTCCATCCAGTGATCTGCTACCACTACCAAATAACGTTGATGAGAATTTTGACTGCTCCAATAATGCTGAAGAACTATTTGTTCGAAATGACCTAGACTGAAACTTTGTCTTTTTCAATGAAATCCCATTTGATGGAGGTTTGGACAAACTTTCTCCTCCTCCAAAAGATTGGCGCCGTGAAAGACCATTACACACACTTCCTCCTTGTGGAGTAGAGCGGGTGGTACAAGTTGAAGAAGCTTTTAGCCTTTCTTCCAAAACTTTAAATCGTAAGTGATACTTCTCCTGAGAAATAAGTTATCAGCATGTTATCGTACAAGTTGCGAACAGGAAATGACATAAGCAAACCTGTGAGGAAATAATTGAAAAATATCAAACAACGACAAAAAGGGAATTTACAGAGCCGTCCAATTTCTTACTTTTAATTGTGCTTCTGCCTTTGCAGTTCGCTCTGCAATTGCCACTTTGTCTTTAAGCTGTTGCATTTCTCCCTATTCACAAATAGCAATATTTCTTAGTTCGTCTGAAATATAAAGAAAGGACTGGCTTAATACGGATAACTTATGGTCAAAACTGGAAACACCAGTAACAAAATTAGTTCCAAAACTTCCCTGGCATTACTTTTGCTGCAAAGTGGCAAAACAATGACTATTAAGACATTGATATCCCGGTCAATAGTCTAAACCCTTTTCCAAATTCAGATCTCCTCGCTTGATATAGCACAGCAATATAAATCAGAAAAAGTTTTTCCTATCACTAATGAGGAGTCACAGTATGCTAAAGGTCAAGTACGACCCAATTAGTGATTTCTGTACTGTTGACTTGCCTATTAGTATATCTGCTTACAGAAACAAACAAGTATACACACTAGACACATAAAAGATTAACCTAAAGCCATCACATGCCTGAAGAAGTCTTCTTTCTTCCAGCCATTGCTTTACAGGCATTACTTTGTCATTGGAATCTTTCCACTCATTAGCAACAACAACAGCAACCCGATTCGCTGAAATCTTTGCACGAGCTAGTTCACGGTCCAGAATTCTTTTTTCTTCCTGTTGAAGCATGGAAATTAGTCATCCCAGAGAAGCTCATTGTAGCAACGGCTAAGGTGTTTAGATTTAACAGTCCTACAGTAACACTTACGTTCAATTCTTGCATCTTTCGCTGGTAATCGCGTACAGCATTGGCCGCAGCACCTCCAGCCAAAACAGCCTCCTCAAGTTCATGTACAGTTTGCATTAACTTTTCAACCTCAGAAACCTTCTGCCTGTGCATCTTGTCCAATATTCTATTCTCCTCCTGAAGTAAGAGCACAATAGATCAAGTGAATCTGTAAAGACAAAAATTATCTGATGGGCAACACACTTTCATCCATACCCACAAGAAGAGACTTCTAAAATAGTCAAACCTGGCATATCTCTATCTGTTTCATCAAATCTTGGTTTTTGTTCTGCAGATCATCAACCAAGGAGGCTTTCGCCAATGCCATTTGGACAGTTCGCTCAGCCTCCAACAGAGCAGCCTCTTTGGACTTAGTAAGTCGATCCAGGGCTCTATTGTCATCTTGTAGCTTAGCTACCTGAATTGAAAAGATGCAAAAGTACATCACTTGGAACATACATGCATTTTCATATACCAGAATTGAAACTAGATCAACAACAAAGTTTATGTACCTCCAGCCTGGCCAACTTCAATTCTGCCTCTAAAGGAGTGATAATGGCTTCAATAGGAGGCATTTCATCATCTTTTTGACCTGCATGAACTCTTCGAAGAGTAGCTTCTGCAGCAAATTGTGCTGCCAGAGCTGTTTTCTTTTCTTCATTTATTTTCCTAACCTCTAAATTCTGAGAATCATAATAACTTGACTGTTAGATGTCTTAGCTTCTGCAACAAACTGACGGAAAATGTTGAAATTCTAATTTTCATTGGGGGAACAAAAACAATAAAATTAAAAAAAAATAAATAAATTCCTAAAGAAGCACTATAACTATGCAGTTAATAAACACTTCACCTTGCTTTCCAAAAGTGCTTCAGTTGCTTTCAATTTGTCGTCAATTTTCTTTAACTCATCCGAAAGCTGATGTAAAGTAAACCATGATAAGCAACCTTACTAAGTATGAAAAGGAATCACTAGTCAAATACTGAAACATGAAGGAAACCTTTATCCAATCAATCACACATTCATAGCATGTGTATAGCGTTATGTAGATATAACACAAAGTTTCACGAAGATATAAATTTCCATATAACAAATTCTAACACCAGCATATCTTTGATAGTGACACAGTCATATGGGTACTTTACAGCACTTGCTACTTTGGTAAGATCATTCAATAAAAATTTTTACACCAGCAAAAACAAACATGGGGTTTTGGGCCAAAACCCAAATGTTGAGATTGTAGATTTTAAAGTTACCATTGATCCTTTTATTTTCTATGCCTTCCATGAATAGTGGAGGAATGCTGAGATTAAAGGTCTATAAAATGCTCCTTTATGCGGCACCATGGACGATAAATTGCAGAGTACCAGTATCTTTCTCTCACTCATGAAAAGATAAACCAAATCTTCTAGATGTAAGAATTTTATAATTGTAAAACTTCAAACAAGTATTTACTGTAGCCTCATAAGTTCTGCAGTTGTTCTACCCTTGAAGGAGGGAAATGTAAGCAAAAAAACCTCTTAATAACAACCATTTTGGATCATATTTCTCTTCTTCTGCTCCCTATGGCATTGACATGGAACCAGGAGAGGAAGGCATCCATTTGCTACTTTCATCTCCTTTGTCTCTCACAAGTTAATGATTTTTAGGTTTCTCTCGATTATCT